CCAGTTATGTGCACCCCTGCCTATAGATGCTTACAATAGTTAAACATTATTTTCATGTGCAAAATGCATTCAAAATGTAGAGGCTCTATAGAAGTAGCAATTAGCTCAGTCACAAGGTCAGAAGAAACATAAATAGCCACACCTCCACCCCTGCTGCATCTATCAGATCTGTAAAGCAAATAATTTGTGATTTGTAGTTCACTATCGGAAATGTGACTATTAAGCCAAGTTTCAGAGAGTGTGATGATTTTAGGTTTATGTAGGACAACCCATGTCCGAAGTAAATCAATTTTGGGCAATAGACTCCTGATAACTTTTGGAAATAAATAAATACATGTTCAAATAAGTATAGAAACCAAGTCGAATTTGTCAAATGTATTGAACTGGTGATCACAGTTTGACAGCTATAGGCCTACAGCTTTCATGTGCGGAGGCGATTCACAATCAGGCCAGCTGTAGAGAAGACCCTCTCAGCTGGAACGGAGGTTGCGGGTATAGCAAAGTATAGTATGTGTATATATATATAAGTTTAATTTGGCATAGTTTGCACTCTACACCGCACTCACTAACCTGGTCGAAATATTTCCACACATTACTCCTTTTTGACGCCATGTCTGTTGTGTAGGACTCTTCTTAGAGTGTAAATAATAAAATATGTTGAATACCGGCAAAACTAAATCTCTCCTGTCAAAATGTCTATGTACTTTGCCGCCACACACGGTTGCCAAGCAGTGCTTATTGTTGTTTAGGCTGGCCACTCATGTGTCGCGAGTGTTGACAGGGGGCGGGGGAGTAAGCTCATGAACTGTTAGCGCCGGTGTTACCGTTTAACTGGTGACGCGGGGGAACTCGTGACGTTCTATAACGGTAGGAATGTGTCAGGGGCGTGTACTTTGAGGAGCCACGAATAACCAGGAAATACACATTTCGATCGCTTCTTCTGTTGTTTACATTTATCTTTTGGTATATTTGGCGCCATAGGAAAACTTTGATGCACATTCAGTACCAGTGTGTGAGGTTGTGGTTGCGATGCCGATATCCGGACGCGTACAGCGAGGACTACAACATGACAATGAGGTGACTGGGGATGTCTGTTCAAAACATTGCAAACGTGAATAAATCATTTCAAATATATATTTGTCTCCGACTTTCATTTGTACATCGTTGTTAATGTGATGTTTAGTAGCTTTGATAGCTGTCCATACCTTCAGACAGCCTAAAAGTAAGACACAAGTTGTTTACTCAGCCCGAATGCAGCATCGAGATCCGTGGCAAGCTGTGATCCTCTCCGATTAAGTTGTGACAGGACTTCTGTAGCTATTCTCCAGCGAGCAAGGTTTTTATTAAATACCTCCATCCCTCTCATCACAACAAGACTCTACACTGTGCAGAAAAAATACAACATAAATGAAACAAACAAACAATCTTCCATGGCTGATATGTCACAGTAACGGGTAAACCACAGAAAAGTCGAGCGGGACACAAGTTAAATCCATATAATGAAATTGTTATTTTATATGTATGTATATATATATATATATATATATATATATATATATATATATATATATATATGCATACAAATACTGTAGATTATGATTGTTGAAAATGCACTTTTACCATAAAACGCCAGCACGACCAGTTGGTTGAGGCTCATAAAAACACAACTGTGTAGTCAGTCAAAAAAAAAGTAGTTTGTGGTAGTTTGTGTCCCATTTGATAATAAAAAAATGCAAACAAATAATTGTTCCATAGATTTTTTTTCTTGGTCTGGCAATTAAAGGGTTAAGCCTTTATGTTTAAGCAATTATGTCTGCCTTCCCCGTCTTGCACCATTAGGACCCACTGATATAAAATGCTTAACTGCCTAAGTTGCAACTATGCACTTTTTGGTGGGCTAAGCGCCAGCTTCACATATTTTTGGCTACATTTAAAGTGCCCAAATGTAAGTTTAGATATTATGCAATGCAACGTTTTTCTTGGCCTACATCAGTGTTATAGAAGGAAAGACAACAGTGATAGTTATGTTTCAGAATAACATTTATTGGAAATTGTTGGAAAAATATCACTTTTCACCAGCTTGAGCTTCAATCTCAGGATCCATGTATTTGTGATCCTCTCCAGAATGGAAGTAGTCATCACATACAGAGCATCAACTAGTTCCTGAACAGTGTCCTTCACATGCTGATATCCAAGAGAAGGAGTTACACAGTCACAAGATGGAGGAATATAAAGCAGTATTCAATGTTTAGTTCAGATTAGCTCCACGTCAGAAAGATCATGCTTGTCATCTATCTCCATAGAGGCTGAATCATCATGTTAATTACATAGCTATCATATGCCTAAAGGGAGGCATGTGGGTTAGTGCGTTGGTGTTCGGATCAGGGACACTTCACCCCAAATTGCTCCTGTGGGGATTGTCCACAGTATTGAGTATGTAAGTCGCTTTGGATAAAAGCGTCTAACAAGTAACATGTCATGTAATGTAAAACAGTCCTGATGCTCTTCTATTTATTTAATCGTTTATTTGGCAGGGACAATGCACAGTAATGAACACTTAAAACATTAAAATGTATCAAGCGTAACAGTGCCAGATTTAGCTTTGAGCTAATTTCCATCCGCAGTCCCTTACATAAAACATTTAAGAAAATTACATTTTACAAACATAGCAAAAACAAAATACATGATATGCAAAAAGTGCAAAAGAGCAAGAGCAGCATACACAAGTATTCACCACATGGCAGTACAATATAGCAGCAACGACATATACAGTGCAATAAAAGATAAAAGTGCTACATAAAGTGCAAGAGGAGATACCCCTGTGTTAAAGTGCATCTAGCGGTGATTACACGTCTGTTTGTTTCTCAACCATTCTTTGAGTTGACTGTTGAAGCTATTGAGAGTGGGACAGTCCCGTATCTCAGTTGGGAGGCTATTCCAGAATGAGCTGCCTTTAACGGAGAGGACATTTTGTCCAAAAGTTGTCCGTCTATGGTGGACTTCACAGTCTCCTCTGGTTTCTGACCTAGTGCAGCGTCCAGTGTGTTTTTTGTGGATGAATTCCCCTAAGGGAGGGGGAGCCAGTCCATGTAAACATTTATAAAAAAAACACATACTTTTAAAAGACTTCAAATTGTCAAAACTCAAGAAATTGTGTTTTTCAAGGATGGTACAGTGGTGGTATGAATATGGCTTTCTGTCAAACACCTTGATAGCTCTCTCTCACAGCTGTTCTATGGGTTTCAGGTTTGTGGCACAAGCAAACGACCAGTTTGTAAAACAGTATTCAATGTGGGATAGAATCATACAGTAGAGGTATGACTTTGCAGCATTGACAGTTAAGAAAGGTCTAATTTGTTTAAAATGTTGCAAGTTGTATTTAATGGTATTGGATACTTTCTTGATATGTTTCGTAAAAGTCAAGTTCGAGTCCAGTATGACTCCAAGATACTTGAAGTGGGGGACAAGTTCTAATTCTGCTCCGTTTAAAAACACATTGGATCCTTCGATTTTGACTGGTCGTTTACTACACTTTCTAGGTAATCATACATCCTGTCATGTATACAGCTAAAGTTGGGATACCTTGTTGGGATACCTTTGTTATCATGTTGTGGGGATTGTCCACAGTATTGAGTATGTAAGTCGCTTTGGATAAAAGCGTCTAACAAGTGACATGTAATGTTACTCTGATATTGGAAGAGTAGCCTACATTCAAATCTAATCAACAATCATCAATGTATTTCCCAACAGAAATAAAAAACGGTGTGTGTGTGTGTCTAAAATGTGCAGGCTTTGCAAAAATAATCGTCGTTCACAGATGGCTCCCGAACACATGTCATGTGGTACCACAGAGTGCACCCAGTGCACTCAATCTTAAAAGAAACAGAAAAAACACATGTTAGAATATTGACAAACCTTTTTTTTAAGGTTAACATCACTCATCCAGAGTAAGCAGTAATAAAGTTGTTTACATTTAATTAAACAAGCAATGTATAGGTTGGGATCTTAGCTGTTATCCTTTCTGTTTAGAGTCCGTGCTCAGAAGTTTCTTCAACTGCTCCAGTGTCATCCCATAGTGCAAAGACATGCAAGTTTGGTGAATTAAAGTAAACATTTTCAATACCTGTTATAGTGAGTGTTCACCCAGTGATGTAGAGGTAACCAATCCAGGGTGTATCCCAGTCTTCCAGCCAAATGTTGGTCCGGAAATAAATACAACTTCTTACCCATTGATCAACCTTAGGCCCTGAGTTAAGTTCCCCACAGGCCCGACACAGCTGGGATAGGTCATCTGTAAAAACAAAGAAAAATATAAGAAATACAGGCATTAAGGTAGTGAAATGCCAAACAAGACACAATATTTCTGTTTCCCTGGTCTAGTCCTTTATACCTGAGTTTTTCATGAGAGCCATTGCCATCTGGAACCTCATTGAGGCCACTCCTTCCAGGTCCACTGGGTACTGGACCTTTTTTTTTAGTATTTGCTCTGCAAGCTTAAAAGGTCTGTGATTAGTATCTTCGTATTTTTTTTAAAATTACAGATGGTTATATATATATATATATATATATATATATATATATATATATATATATATATATATATATATATATATATATATATATATATATATATATATATATATACACACACACATGAGTAAATGTTACCTTACAAATGAACACACCGCATGAAGTGGAATCCTGCTGGATAGGGTGAGTGATGGTTGTGCAGGCCCATCTCCCAACCGAAGGTCTTTTTTTCCGGACCAGCGATCTACACAGGAAACAGATAGATTGGGTTTTATATATAAGCCCAAGTAAGATACTTTTATAAGTCAAGAAGAGCTGAATGTTCACACATGACAATCTAATGGTATTCAAGTAAACAGTAGTAATCAGGAAAATGATTTATGTGGCTTTGTGTTGCTCCCCCTTAATATAATCCAAAATCATGAATATGTCTAGTAAACACATTAGAGCTTATATTTTATTCACCTTGTTAAATCTTTGCATCGGCTTAACTGCTTTTCCTTGGCCCCGAATGGGTCCAAGAACAGTGACCGGTTCTCGTTCAGATACATGATCTATGGAAGTGCAAAGAAAGTATTAAAGTGTTAAATAAATAAAAATGTCTTGACCATTAACATTTTAGATTACTTACAATGAGGGTCCAGTGTGCCCCGTCACAGACAGCTCCGGCTGCCACCTCATGTTTTGACAAGTCCAACTGAAAAATATTTGTACATACATCAGTACATATGTTCAAATAAACACTTATTTCTAGTCCTACTCCACTCACCTTTCTTAACCCTCCCTTGTGGGTTCCTTGCCAGAGGGAAGTCATCAAATAGGAATCAAAAATGAATACCCCAGCTTTGGCCCCAATCCACGACAGATAGACATTCACAATCTATAAATACAACAGTATCTTTTTAACCAATTTGCTAGAGAATTATCAGTTTGCATACGTACATTTTTCTTAGAAAGTAGGCTTACTTCTCCCTCCAACTCCTTTCCCGGGGCCAAGACCAAAAGATTTTCACTGTAGACCTTGTATGGGCCATACTTCTTTCCACCATGCTGCGGACTTTGTCTTCTGTTATCTGCCACAGAAAACCATTAGAATGTAGAGAAAACATAGATGTTTGAAATAAAAAACATTCTAAAGGATGAGAACATTAGCAGATCTTACTTCGTACTTCTCGGGCACCTCTGACGGGTACCTCGCCTCCCTCCCAAACATGAGATAGTAAGGACTGAATTTTGTGGTCAACTGAGGCTTAGTCCGAAGAGCAAACATCGTCCCTTGAAGGAGTTGGTCCCATCGTTTCGGCTGACCTGCCACCAGTTTGTTCAGGGACCTAAATTCAGGTAAAGTACAAACACAAGAAGGTCGAACAGAAATTGGTTTCTAATATATGATGAAGCTGCTGATTTATTTACTCTTGTTGTTTTAGGTATCAATTCTGATTAGTTAATATAGGAACAGTAATGTTTGTTATTCTATGAACAAAATATACCTTTGTATTGTGCCATTTAATTTTTCCACCAGCCCATTTGTTTGTGGGTGGTATGGCGAGCACAGGCTTCTTTTGATGCCAAGCCTCTCACAAAGGTTATAGTTGACCTTGAAGTGAACATTGGGACAAACAGGAAATAAGTTTGTTAGCATAGCACAGTTACATAATGGGGAGTCATAATTCTTCAAAGTAGTACCTTATTACAAAATTCCCCGCCTTGATCTGTTAGCAGTCTTTTAGGTGCACCAAATTTGTAAAAGAAATCAATAATACACTTGGTCACCTCATCTGCTGTTTTATTTTTAAGTGGGTATGCCTCTGCCCATTTGGTGTAATAATCAACCATGACACAAATGTATTGATTGCCACCATCGGTTACTGGGAGTTTACCCACTAGGTCCATCCCGACAAGCTCCAGAGGCTCTGTTACCTGAGATGAAAAAAATACACATGAGCATTGCAGTACATTACTGTTGACATGTTTGAAAGCTGAAACTGTCTTCAAATGTTTCCTTGTACCTCTATAGGAGTGTACTCGACCTTCTCTTTGATAAAGGCCCTCTTTGACTGGCACTGGGGACACTGAAGAACCTGAACCAAAAAACACACTATAAACTTTTCTGTGTTGCACTTTTGTACCATAATGTGTAATTTACCTCATTATTTTGAACTCACACACTTGCGGATATCCTCCTCCATGCCAGGCCAATAATATCGTTGAATTATAGCCTGATGTGTTTTTTCCCTTCCAAAATGTCCACCAATGTGGCTATCATGGAATTCCTCAAAGAGATCATTGGCTTCTTTGGCTGACACCACGACTTTGGCGAGGTGCTCTGCACATTTTTTTTTCCTCCTCCATATGTAGTGCAGTTCCCCATCTGGTATTGAAATGTCATAATTATACATGTATTGAGAGTGTTATCATAGCAGATGATGTTCTGAAGACCATATGTCTGACATTGTTACCTATAATCCTGAAGGTCTCTGCTCTTCTCTTGATAATAAACCTCTGTGTTCTATTCAAGCCATCAGGATAAATGTTGTGGATCAAAAAATCCATCAGTTGTTTAACAACTTCTGAATCCATCCCCTCTTGCTTAGCCCTACAGCTATTCTCTCCCTCCAATACACACACACACACACACACACACACACACACACACACACACACACACACACACACACACACACACACTCACAAGGACAAACACTATCACATTCAATACTCACTTACGCACAGCCGATCTTTCTCTATCTATCTCTATATGTCTCTGTCTCGCTATCAATCTCTCTCTCTATACTCACAAACCAAGAAAGTTGTGACACTTCCGCCGGTTTATATAGCCTAGACAATCTAGGATAGAAATAAATATATATATATATATATATATATATATAAAATAACAATTTCATTATATGGATTCAACTTGTGTCCCGCTCGACTTTTCTGTGGTACTGTGACATATCAGCCATGGAAGATTGTTTGTTTGTTTCATTCTAAGCTATCCAGCAAGGTTATTTTCATTTATGTTGTATTTTTTCTGCACAGTGTAGAGTCTTGTTGTGATGAGAGGGATGGAGGTATTTAATAAAAACCTTGCTCGCTTGAGAATAGCTACAGAAGTCCTGTCACAACTTAATCGGAGAGGATCACAGCTTGCCACGGATCTCGATGCTGCATTCGGGCTGAGTAAACAACTTGTGTCTTACTTTTAGGCTGTCTGAAGGTATGGACAGCTATCAAAGCTACTAAACATCACATTAACAACGATGTACAAATGAAAGTCGGAGACAAATATATATTTGAAATGATTTATTCACGTTTGCAATGTTTTGAACAGACATCCCCAGTCACCTCATTGTCATGTTGTAGTCCTCGCTGTACGCGTCCGGATATCGGCATCGCAACCACAACCTCACACACTGGTACTGAATGTGCATCAAAGTTTTCCTATGGCGCCAAATATACCAAAAGATAAATGTAAACAACAGAAGAAGCGATCGAAATGTGTATTTCCTGGTTATTCGTGGCTCCTCAAAGTACACGCCCCTGACACATTCCTACCGTTATAGAACGTCACGAGTTCCCCCGCGTCACCAGTTAAACGGTAACACCGGAACCTCGCAACGTTTGGGCGGACCGGGGGTTGGGAACCCCTGGTCTAGGGTGATGGGGTCGACCACATCAGGAGGTTGGGGGTTTGCAGGAGGGGTCCTCTCCTTCCTCATGGTGGCGATGTTGTGCAGCACAACACAGGCAGTTATAATGCAGCAAGCTCTTTCAGGGGCCACTCTGAGCCCCCGCAGGCAGGTGAATCTGGCCTTCAGTATCCCAAAGGTCATTTCTATCCTGACCCTGGTTTTGGCATGGGCCACATTGAAACTGGTTTGTGGCCCTTCACCAGGGTCAGGATACGGGGTCATAAGGAATGGCTGGCAGGCATAACCCCTGTCCCCGAGCAGCACTCCACTGAAGAGCCCTGAAGATAAAGGAATATTTCCACAATAAGTACCACAAAAGGCAGCTTAAGAAGCACAAAACAATAAGAATGTACAGTTGCCATACCCTGCTCGAGTTTGTGACACAGTGATGACTCGGAGAAGATTCTCGAGTCATGGACTGACCCAGGCCACTTTGCCTCAAGGCTTGTGATGACACACCTGTGGTCACAGGTGGCCTGCAAAAGCATGCGGGGTTAACAAGCCTACTTCCACAATAAGAGCATCATAGTCAGTGTAGCATCAATGTTCATTTGAAATGAGTCCATGTTATAGATAAAGATAGTCCAAGTGTGAAACATGTACTGTGTGAATATTTAAATGTGTGATTTCCTTTAATCACCCAGACTTCAATGTGTGTTCTAGTGAATGTGCAAGATTTACCTGAATGTTGAGGCTGTGGATGGATTTGCGATTGACATAGTCGCCTTCATTTTCTCCCAGGGACGCAGAGATCGGAATGTGTGTGCAGTCGATACAGCCAAGCACCCTGGGAAACCCTATGAAATAGTAGGCTGCATTTATTATACAACAGTGTACGTCATAGGAACAACATTCACTGTAAATATATAATCACATATCAATACCTGCCATGCTGTAAAATCCCTCTTTGATCGTCTGCGTGGGACATGTGCCAGGAAACACAATAAAGGTCTGTGCGAGCCCTGTCAGAGCATGTGCGACCTTATGAATAGCACTGCAGACTGTATTCTTGCTTAGGTTCTCTGCATCCCCCACGGCATAAAGAAAACTGCCGGTTGCAAAGTATCGCAAAGCAATACATACATACACTGTAAGGGCACAACTCCGATGTGTGGCATTAGCAATATATGGCTCGAGGAGCTGACACAGATAAGTCAGCCCTTCTGACGAGAACCTGTATCTTTCATACAAATACTCTTCAGGGAAAGCCAAAGGGTTTATTCTGTCCCTAAATATCCTCTCCAGCCTGAGAGCGCCTCTCACAATCTGAGCGCCGAGCTCCACAGTGTCATCCACAAATGCCGACGTCATTTTCACAGAGATTTCATTGGTCGGTAGGCGGAGCTTTTATAGGCTGATCTCTTAGCCTGCCACCTAACCTGCTCCGGAGCAGGTTAGCCGCTCAGCATAAGTTACCATGGAAATCTAGCCTGCTAAAAAGAGAACCAGCGTCGTAGGACCGGAAAGCCCGAGCTTTCCCTGAAGTTAGCCGGCTAAGCGAAAATCCGGCTTCGTAGTACAGGCCTCTGGACACCAAATCCCAGAGCATTACCATGAATACACTTAAACATAATAACTAATTACACAGAGCTCAGTCTGCATTACGGAGAGGATAAATAAGTCGTAGCTCAAAGAAATTCATCCGAACGAACACAAGCATTATTTAACAATAACAGCCACTCGGGGCAGTATTGCAATAGTAGAGGACTCTAACGTGCCACAGAAGAAGAAGTAGTGACGTCAACGTCACTGCAAAATGTAAACAAACCACACAACTGAAAGAGCCAGGCGGGTGCCCACCTGTTATATTAAGTTATAATAAACACAAAAGAGAGTGTCAACAACATCTCAGCAGTCATGACACGTCACATAAACAGGTCTCTGTTTTTTGAGAAGATGATAAAAATAAAAAACAAGAGAAGAGAGGAAACCGAGGAGAAAGTCACTTAGCGGCACCATCCTAGGGGATCAACATGCTACCATTAGCAGCAGCCTCATCTCTGGGGATGTTCGTCACCCAGGAGAGTTTGAGGTGGACATAAAGATTGCCTCTGCGTCTTTGTGGGTAGAGATGCGTTGTGTGCCATCAACAACAACGCAGAGGGTGCACGGGTAGAGGAGAAAGTACTTCATGTTGAGTTCACGGAGCTTGCGTTTGAC